CCAAATTAAAAGCGTACCCATATTCAAAATCCCCAAGGCCTGAAGGGGTTGTACAATCCACATGGAGTGTTTATTAATCAAGATTCGGGTAGCTGCTTGAAATGAAGTGAAGGAAGTGTCACCGAATGTGGCCCAAACAACAAGTGCACATGGCCGTGCGGTCGCCTTGCGCAGTTTTCAAGGATCCTGGTGCAGAAGCAGATCTTCCAGGAATTTCAGGACAGATCTTTTCACATTTTTTGTCCCAAAGTCCAAGAGGAAGATCTTGAGCTGAACCGCCTAAGTCTCATGACTCATAACCTCTCCGTCAAAACGGGATCCTGGTCCTTTGCTGCTCCGGGTATTCGCTGATGATTTTTCCAGCTTCAGCCGCCCTCCAGGAGATCCTGACGAAGAAAGTCAGCAACCTGAAAGTAGGCCACAGGGGCATGCAAAATACATTCGATGCCAACATGTTCGATGGCTAGTTCGACACATCAAAATCCACATAAATCCAAACAGACACACACACACAGACATGTTTCAGCCAGGTGCATTCTCAAATACTATCAGCAAATCTGTTTACACCCGCCGAGTTGTTTGATTGATGGATTGATTGATTTGATTTCTTTTGGTCTTTTGACCGACTGATTAATTATGATTGATTGATTGATTGATTGTTTGTTTGTTTGTTTGTTTGATTCGATTTGATTTCAATTGACTGATTTGATTGATGATCAGCCAGCTGCTCCATCCTCTCCATTGCGTCACGTGTCATTTCCGTCATCTTCACCCACCCTTCACCCTCCACCCACCCTCCACCCTACCCAGCCCGCATCCGCCCGACCCAGGTGACCCCTTGGAGGCTCAGACCGACTTGGGCCCGCTCATCTCCGCGCGGCAGCTCGCGCGCGTGGAGGACCAGGTGCTCCGCGCCGTGGCCGCTGGCGCGGCGCCGCTCACGGGCGGCCGGCGGGCGGCGGAGTGCTTGGAGGGAGCGCTGCGGGAGGGGCATTTCTACGAGCCGACGGTGGCCTGGAAGGATGGGGAGAAAGATGGGGAGTAAGGGAAAGTGGGGGGGGTGTGGAGGTAAGGTGGAGACAGGTGGAGGGAATGGTGGGTAGTTGGTCTAGGTGCTAGATCGACATGATTTGGTGTTAGTTAGTATGATTTAGTATCGACATGTCCATTCTGGTGACATTCAAGTAGAGAAGAGAAGGAAGTGTTGGAGCATTTTGTCACCAGGTGGTTTGCTTCAAGGAAGTTCCTTCTATTGTTGGCCTAAAGCCCGAGGATTGGCTGATGTTTATCGATAAACCCGATAAGGCCGCATTTGGATTTGCAGGGGGCGATGCGGGAGATAAGATAACCATGAGCAGTAGGTAGGGGGACAAGCAGGTTCATTTGGGCCCTTGCTTGCCCACGTAACACTCAACAAGTAACCAAAATCAGAGCGTTTTCTTTCCTCTGTGGGCACTGTTCTGTGCGTGGTTCTCGAGGCGGGGTTTGCGGGTCATGCAATGGAGTGCGCGATCTGTCTTCCCTTGGTGGGACAGTTGGGCGCCAACTGGAGCTCTTCGCAGCCGCATATATCCAACACATTCCAACACAACCGTTGAGAGGTCCCCAACCCAGCTGAGGCGTGCTGACATTGAAGTTTCGGTGTGTCCATGTCGTTCATACACGCGTCCAACCCAGGCCTTTCATGTACACAACTTTACGCTCTTCGAGCCACATGCATGCCCTGCACAACATGGGTCCTAGCAAGAGTGCAGCATTTTCACGAATTAGCTGCACGCCCTGGTTTTGCAGGAACATTTCAGACAGTTCTTATGACTGCAATATCATGTGTTTGAGTGTCGTGGCTAGCACCACAAGCCAGAAAGTCAATAGTGTCACTCGTGAGGTGAATCCTTAAAGATCTGAACATGTATTTCCCTGCTCCTTAGGCCGTGTGAGCTATACAGTCCTTCCTCCACGACTCGGGACTGGGGTTCCAACTACTGTTTCGTGAGGCTGCGATTGGTAGACATTCCACACTCCCAAACCGCCCTGCAGCAACGATCAACGGTTCTCCAAAGATCCATGGGAAGAGTGTGTTCATGTTTGTGGGCCCCTAGCGGGCCCCTTGCTGCTAGCTTGGCGTTGGGATGCTCTCCGTCAACATCCCAGGTGCTCAGCAATGTCACGGTGGACAACCCGGCCTTTGTGGAAGCTGGGTTTGGATATGTTTGGATTGTTGAAGGAATGTTTGTGCTTTCAGCTTGAAGTAACGGGAAGTCCTTGCAGGTTGCTAGGTGATCTATGTTGCGTTTCACCAGTTGGGCCTTCCAAAACTCACTTGGAAACAAAGAGAGACCACGCCAACACTCACCTTCCAAAGGAGCTTTGGCAGGCCTTTCATTTTGCCCCATACCGAGGTTGCAGAAACATGACACCAAGAACCCGTAAGAAATTGTTAGAATCCTCATATAGAACATAATAGAACCCTCTTGTTGGGCAAAGAAACCATCACCAGATCCACCCATCACCCATCCATCCTCTCCCCTTCTCCCCTTCTCCCCTTCTCTCCTTCTCTCCTTCTCCCCGCCTCCGACCCGGCTCCATGCGGCCGACACCGTCTCCGACGGTTTGGCCCCCGAGGAAGAGATCTTCGGCCCGGTGGTCTCGCTGTCGCCCTTTGCCGACGAGGACGAGGCGATCAGCCTGGCTAACGCCTCCGAGTACGGCCTCGGCGGAGTGGCCCGGGCTATGGAGGGGTGGAGGGGTAGTTCTGGTTCTTTTTTTGGGTTCTGGAGGAGCGTTTTGGGGGGTGATTGGACTCCAAAAGAAGCTGGTGGATGGGAGGCCAACATGGAATCTAGATAGCAATGGTTTCTCCAGACATCCGGCTTTCGTGTGGAGAGCCTTTCCCTTCCAGACATCCAGAGTCCACCAAAACTGGTAACCAGTCTGGAAACCAGTGGTTCCACAGACTAAAGCCATGAACTTATAGAATCGCTGGTTCCTGATATACTCCCTGGTAGTGCTGGTAACTGAGATCATTTGGTCTTGATCTTCCCGCCCGAGGCGATGTGGACCGAGGACGTCCGAAAGGCCTTCCGGGTGGCGCGCCGGCTGCGGTGTGGACTCACCTGGGCCACTGGGGCACGGTGAGGTGGTTCTTCGGGGCGGAAGGGTGACGGTACGGAGCACTGCTGGGGAGGGGGTCCGGGGAATACTCCATGTACCTTCTATTTTGTGAAGGACTGAAGGATAGATAAAATGGACTGTTCACGTCATTTGGGTAGAACATCCACCTTGAGATCACAGCTGACTTGAAGATGATGCAGGATGCACCATTATGGGTTCGTTGATCGGGACGTCTATCGCGTGCAGATGCTGCCATGTTTGTGTGGCGACTCTTCACCATGAAGATTCTTACAATCTGGGACCACTGAAGACCACAAATGAAGGGATTGATGCGAGGCTTTATCCTCGAAACCTCATCCTTTGGATCGTTCTGGAGCCCCCTACAAGCATATCAAATGCTACCATCCCTACAATCCCTACCATCCCATCGCTCTCCTTCGAGCACCTCTCTCAGGTGAATTGTCATCACCGGAACGATCCCAGCAGCCCCTGGGGCGGCTTCGGACAGAGTGGCATCGGCCGAGAGAATGGGCCCGAAGCCTTCGAGGAATACACCACGACGAAGAGCTTGACCATCAGGACAGCGTTGGCATCCGCGGATAAAGCCTTTCAATTAAATGCTACAACATTGCCCATGGCCAACCTTCATGTTTCTTGCGCTGTTGGAGGTTGAGAAGGGCGTGCCGTCATGGTCCCTTGCGCGTCAACCTTTTGGCGAGGTTCCAACAACCTCCGCATAACAGAATATGGGGATAGGTCAAACCTGGAGCCCTGGTCCACGTTAGCTTGACCTTCCAGGTGCAGGTGAACCCGTTGGGTCTCCTGGTGGTTGTGACCTATTTAGCCAAATGTCATGTTTTTGTGGTTCAGTCCTGGATTGTCCTGGATTCCCCAAGCTCTTGCTTCCCCAATTGCTTCTCACTTCACACTTCATCACCCCCCCCCACCGAAAGAGCGCTGCACGTCCTCACCTCGGCCGCGCAGTGCCGTCCTCAGGACCAACGACACGGCGGAGAACTGGTTTGGCAGCCGCAGCGCGCGCTACGGCTGACGCCACGAAAAACCGTGATGTCCTGCGTTTGGCATGGCAGAGCGTGAAAAAGAGCTCAGAGGGGGGCTAATTGGGCAGTGGAGGATAGGTGAGACAAGTTAAAGAAACTCGAACAGTTGGGAGACTGAGGAGGTTCTCTTCTACAATCAGGGCAGTCTTCTCATACAGAACATGAAGAAAACAACTTCAACACACTTGGACTTGGTGTTACAAGCCTATGGAAGGTTCAGGAAAAAAACAGACGAGTCTACCCAGCCAGGGGCGAGATTTGGGGGGGATCTCCCTGTGAAAAGTGCACGGCCCTTTCAGATTAGGCAGAGATTTCAAAGAACAAGGGAGTTACAGTAACTTGTGCCATGGAACCTGTGAAACCACGGTATATTATGAACTCATCCAGGCGACTGTTCAACGCCAACCAAAGCCCTCGACGTTTCAAGCGAAGAAACCGCAGGGCACCGCGTCGGAGCTGCGGGAGATGGGTTTGGACTTGGAGCCGCAGAGGAGCTTCGATGTGCAGGCAGAGTGGCTGAGCGAGTGAGCGGGCTGGGCGCTGGGGGTCAAGGAGCATGGTTGGCCGAAACGGATGGACTTTGTTGTGATTTCCCGATGTATTATAGTGTATTCTGCATTTTTTTAAACAGTAGCTTTTAGGAGGATGTTGGAGACTGTTTGAAGACTGGGCTTTTTTGGGGCACGGGAGAATTCCAACCACTGGGGCAGTGGACTGGAGCTCAAGTTTGGGATGTTTGATGTCCAGTGATGCCCGGTGGGCCTTGGGGCCTTGAATCGTTTCAGATTTCTGCCAACCTCAAGGACCATCTCCAGGCGGGTGGGTTAAGCTGACCCAAACACCTAGAAGTGCTTGCTGCGCTTGTAAGAGGACTAAGGAGTATGGAACATTTTGACGAACACATGGAAGTGGAACATGCGCCTTTGGAAGACGACTTTCCTCTACAAACGGGTGAACTCCACTTCCATGTGTCGTGAGTAGAGTCAAACAGCCCCTCATTGATGTTTTACCGGAGCCCCTCTTTTTCTGACTAGGTGCTCTTTGGGGACCGGCGGCAAGAGCACTACCGGGCGCTGGCGCGGGCGTTGATCGAGCTGGTGGCACAGAAGTCCACGAAGCCTATCCTGCTGGGCCACTGGATTAGCATTTGAGAGGTTGGTGCAGCTGGGAGTGTGAGTAGTATTTCTACTACTCTCATGACATATTAATTATTTATATGTTAATTACAGTATACGCAGTATATTACGTTTCAGAAGGGCAGGGAGATTGGCAACTGTTTATTGTTCTTTTGTGTTTTTGATGTTTTAGGTTGGTTTGAAGGTCATTGCCAGCTCTGAAATACACAGAATTGCCAGTTGCGGCATGAACCATCATTGAATCATCATCCACTGTTGCTGGTAATGGGGCATAATTACGGTAAACCCAATATATATATATATTATACACTCCAGAACGTAGATGGTGTCTTTCGATTGTCGCCACCCGTCCTTCCCAAGGCATCCATCTGCAACACAATGGTCCCGACGTGTTCAGGCGCGTCCTGCGCCATACGCGGTGGTGGACGTTTGCTCGGTCTGGCCCATCGTCGTGTGGTTCCCTTTGGATCAGGTACGTTTGCTCGGTCCTGCAAAGCCGAAAACCCAGCAGACAGCCTTCAAGTGTAAAATCCCAGCTCTCGAGGCCTTTCCCCCACGACCGGGAAATCTGCTGGAACGAACCAACTCGACTCCACTGCCTGGTGGTGGCAGCTGAAGATCCCTCACACCGAAGGTTGTAATTTAAGCTTCTTGTGCTGCTTGGCTTTTTACGGACAACCCGGCTGTGTACCAATCCCCAGGTCCTGGAAGGCTTTGGCCAAGTCCAATACTTCTTTCGTGCTGACTTTCCCTAGACTCAGCTGCGTGCTTCGGGGTGTTAGTGCAAAACCACCAGCTTCTACACTCCAACTCGCTAACATGGAAGTGGAAACGCCCCTGTTTGTAGAGGGATCCATCCGCCAGACCGACCCGCCGCACTGGCAGGGCCATCCTCCAGCAGTGGCGTGAGCGGCTGACGATCGCCCCGGCAGTCGAGGCCGGTGCTGATCACACCTGGAAGCGTGAGTGATCCCTATTTTGGACCGCCAGAATGGCTTACACATGGCTGAAGTGGCTAATGTTCGGTGCCAGTGCCACCCTCAGTGGCATGCACAGAGCTGAATATAGGAGATTTCAAGGGTCGAGTATTCAATGAAAAGCTCTTTGGTCCCTGTCAGGAAGACGAATTTGCAGACTACGAGGGCCGCGAAACCTGAGCACAGGGCATTGACCAAAAAGCTGAGTGTGGATGGGGTGTGAAACGAGGGAGCGAGGGCAGATGAAGGCAGCGAACGGTGCGTGGACACCTTCTAGATCCATTGATGCCTTACTTCCGGATTTGCGGAGCAGGGGTAGGGGAAGATCCAACAAACCTGCAAGTAACCCTTGTGGAGGGGTTAAGTGGTAAGGGAGGTAAAGAAAGACCAGACTCATGCCAATGCAAGAAACATATAGAACTACCTTTGTCGATGGAGTTGTGGGGCATGGCTTTCTTTTTTGCTCACTCAGCTTGCAGGAGGCATGCCCTAGAAGGCGGTTCTCCTTCTGAGAAGCAGCCGTATTCTTCCACTCCACTCTCTAACATATGACGCCCCTTGCTACCTCCAGCACAGCCATCTACAGCTATTGAAAGAACAATTGTTCATTGGCCCTGGAAGGGTGGGGGTGGTTTTGTTTCCATTCTTCGAGACAGACGGGCCGAGGCGAGTGAGAAGACGACCAAATCTTCTGTGTTTGCCGCTTGGCATGAGGATTTGGGATGCCTAGAGTGCCTGGACGGTGAGGATGTTGTCCACTATGGCAAGGTGAGAGTTGAGCCGTTGGAAGAAGAATCACGGACGATATCCATGAGAAGAGCCAACCATTGCCAACCATGAACATACCCTACAAGTCAAAGACCTCATTTTTCTGGAGATGGTCATACAAAACCAATACTTGAGGAGGTAGTCTAGACCAGGTTCTACTGGGTCAGACTGGACTTGTAGGGATATGTAATGATATCGTTGTCCTGCTTGGGTTCCGGAGGAAGACCGGGCTTCGGCAGCTCCCCGTAGGGCCTTCTGCTCCCGGGCATCGCCGAGTAGGAGTATCAGTGCAGGTGGGCATGGACACCATCAAGGTGCGCTCCAAGTATCTGTGGAGGCCGCAGGGGGCTGCGAAGACCGTGCGTCGTGGGGTGGTCTTTGTCTTCTTTTTCGACCCGATTTGACCCCGATGAGGCGGTTTGGGTGGAACAGGCTGGGAGAAGCTCGGAGGTAGCGGTGGCCTTTTTTACACCGACAGCGGCTGGAGGGTGACCAGTTGGTATTACTTATTATTTATTATTCATTGGGCTTTGTGCACAAGCTGCCGCTTGAGTGACCGGTGCGGGGTTTTGCTCATTTTTGGGGGGCTCATGGCTCATGGTCAGCACTACCCAGGCATTCCAACAAGCATTGTTTGAACCATCTTTGCCAAACAACCATTGTTTAGTTTTACCAAGGGCCAACAAAGTCAGCTCAACCTTTCAAAGGAATGGTCTTTGAAGTCCAGCATCCAATCCAGCTGGAGACGACCTCATAATCAGCTGGAGACGGCGCAGTAGACCATCTCTGAAACTAGGTTCAGGCAGGGATTGAAGATTGACAATTCGGATTTGACAGATTGTGCCGTTCGTTCCACAGTGCAAGCAGAGCAAGTGCTGCAACTGGTGGCAAAGGAGGAACTCACTGGTGAAACTTTATTCTAAAAAAACATGATTAAACACGTACAAAAAGAAGTTTGTTTGACACAGAAGTGATGTGAGACTGACACCATTTTTTTGACTTGAGGGAGGATACATGAAGCTACTCGGATAGTGCGCATGCCATGGCCCTTGCTGGGCCTTGGAGTCATTGGATCCTTGCTATCCAAAAGCTCGGAGCTCGATGGCTCGAGTTGGAGTGAGGCGGCAAGCATGAGACTGTAGCAGGGTTAGAAAAAGAATGGCACCATGGCGGCTGGGTGTCCAGCCATGCCATCGGAAACTGTTGCTTTGAGGTCTTATTATTCTTAATTGAATCTCTATCCTACTTTGGTATACCCCTAGGCCCTAGACAAGCCGCAAAGTCCACAAAGAGATGTGCTGACGACACCAGAACGTTAAGAAGAGCATTCCGTTGGAGACTTGCTCCATGAATCGCATCGCTTCCTCAGTTGGACAGTCCTTAGACTCCAGGAACTCCAGGCCCACTCTTCTCTTGACAGGCTTTATATCAGCCCGGCACTCCACCAGGCCATGATAACCACTTGCCCCATCGCCGCCATACCCTCGCGCTTTGCGCCTCCGGCTGCACGCCTCAGAGCACCACTCCGACCCACGGGGCAGCGTGCGTCGCCCCGTTGGCTGTGGCTCCCCGCCGCGGGCGCCGCGGCCCGCGCGACACGCCGCCCGCGCTGCGCGGGCACGTGTGGGGCCTGGCTCTGGGAGCAGGGCGAGGCCACCGATCAGGAGGTGCGGGTCCGAATTCCGGTGGCGCCCGAGACCATGGCAAAGGACGTGGTCTTTGAGGCGGGAGACCTTGGGGCAAAGCTTTGGAAGTTGACAGAGGGATGTGTTCTGAGTTGTGGGGCTGAGTTGGATGTGTTCTGTCTCCAGCCATTGTTCGGAACGGCTGGGGCTCCTCATTGGTTTGGGTCAGGTATAGGGAAGGGTTTAAAAGGTGGCAAGTTGGTGTGAGGCAAACGCCGCCCATCACCAGGCTCCACAGATCAAGGACCACAATTCCCTGGGTCGGGTCATGGCAAAAGGACCGCACTATGAGGTCAAGGACCAGGTTTTACTTAATCCTTGCACTGGTATGGAAATGAAGCCCCAAACCAAGGGAGCGACGGAGTTGCCAGATTAGTTTCGCTTTGAACCCACCGTTTTCTGCACCACGAGCGCCAGGTCCAGGAGCGCTTCCTCCGTGTGGCTTTGTGGAATGGTTCGATTCAGACGCCCCTCTTGGAGGGAGAGCTTTGGAGCTCGGCAGAACCGGAGGAGAGCTACTTCGAATTGGAAGATGAGGCGCGGCGCGAAGACGAAGCAGACGAAGCATCGGGCACATGCCGCTACTTGGTGGTGTACCTGGCCAAGCAGCGGGTGGAAACCTGGGAAGAAGTCTTGAAGCCTGAGCTTGAAGCACTTAGAGGAACTCTTTTGTTTTCTTGTGGTTGTGCATTTTTACGGTCCACACCCCAGCTCACCCCCTTAACTGCACAAATTGGTACGATTTTCTGGTTGTGGCTTTTGGCTTGGTGTCCAGAACATTTGTGCGGTAGAACATGAGTACTGGTGGGAGGGCGCTGGCGTTGTACTGGCGTTGTTTCCTTCTTTTTTGAGGGGGGCATGCGCATGTTATTTGAAACGAGTACGTGCACGTTCCTACACGTTATGTATAATTAATCAGATGTCATCAGCGCTGACCGCCACATGTATAATTAGACATCATTATCATGACCGCGTAATAGAAGGTGATGTGCAGCAGAGGTTCCGATATCCAGGAATTTAGTTGGAACAGATCTGGTTGGAGCACGTTGGAGCATACCTTCTGAGGGGGGTTCTGTTTGTTTCAATGCTGAAGATACTCGGCAACACTTTTGAGGCAGCATGCCTTTGGATAGACTGTAAGATCATGCAAGGTGCTCATGTACGATGAGTCCACTAGTCCAGTGGTTACAAAGACGAACATCTATAAGAGATACAGAAATAACCTAGACTCTTGATGATTATTTAAATAAGAGTACGTCCCCCTTACGAGGTGTTATATTCCGGGGACCATTGTGTTCATCAAGAGTCCCTAGCAACTTTGCTTCCATAAGTCCATGGGGGCCGTCCACACCCACCCAGCACCGATCCGCACCGATCCGCGGATGTGCTGCGAAAGACCAGCGAGGAAGCCGCCGTATAGCTGGGCTCCTGCGGGGCGACATAATGAAGAGAGCCTGGGATGATTGGGAGCTTTTGGAAGGGTGAACTCTTAAGCTAGACGAGGATACTTGTAGGATCTTGTAGGTCAAGTGATGTGTGCTCCAACTGTTCTGTGTCCTGCGTGTTTGCTATAGTCTCAATGTTGTTGTGCAAAGCGCATTTCTCAAGGTTCTTGCATTGTTAGATTCAGAGTCGACCCTAGTCGCATTTCCAGCTCACCATCATGACCTGGGGCAAGGATCCGCATCGTGGTGCCCATCCCAGAGGATTGCACAGCACAGGAGGTGGACTTTCAACTGGCATATGGGCGATGCTGGGATGTGCAAATGGTGGACATGTGCCATGCTTGGGAGGTGTGTAAGAATGTGCAAAGGGGTGTGCATGAAAATAGGGAGGAACTCCCAGGCAACGACGGTTCAGGGAACTAAGACCAGTCTACCCAGCCAGGGACGAAAAGGGGGATCTCCCGGCTATTAAAAATACACACCCAAATGGTGTGTATATAGGTTATATAAGTATATTAATGTGTGCAACTGCTGTGGGGTGCCTTTTAGGGCCATGGACATGCCACTGGATCAGCTCACGACAGCAGGCAGGCTACTGTTGCTTCCAACTGATAAGATTCCCGCGACTGGCACGTCCTATGCCTTAAGAAGTGCCCAAGATAGACATGTTTTCACCCATTGATGGACAGATCTTAAGTTATATGATCACACCTTAATAGATTGATCTATTGATAGATAGATTGCACCCTACGATAGTCATTTCTGAGCAAAACCAGCGGACGAACCATTCAGCCCGTGGTGCTCTACGGGCGGAGACAGGTAGGCGGCACGTAACGGCGGCTACCGAGCGAAGGCTGTGGAAGGATTTGATGCTGTAGGTGTTTCAATTGTGAAAATTCCCAGGAGAGGGTAAGTGTCGTAAATAGAACCCCTCACCTGGGGTACCCAACTGTGATGGTCGAACTAGGATTCTTCAACCTCTGTTGGTTGTGAACGAGCCTGAAGATCTCCAAGATCCTTTCAAGGATATTTTCATGAAGAAGAGTCATTCCTGAAACAGATTAAACAGATATACAGCAAAAAGAAATAGAGAAAGCATCACTCAACCTCCACGGCAAGTCTTCCAGTATCCAGCCTAAGATTCAACCTTTCGATTACAAAACACAGGTCTATCGGCGAAACATTCGGGTTCAGCAGACTTTCTGGGATCAACTCAATGACCATGTCGAACACCGGCATGTTGGGAGCACACATAGTTGCTTTTGCCAACGTGCCAACGGCCAAAAGTCCCGTCAGGAATCCAAACAACCACCCAAAAACCAAGGGAAACATCTACTGTACTAGTCAAACTCCACCCTTGGAGTGCAAATACCTTTGGAGTCAACATACCTTTGGAGTGCAAAAATCATCAAAGTGATTTGGGAGTCAATAATCCCAAAAATCACAACTTCTCCTCAGGAATCCGCCTCACCTGTCGCGGCGTCGTCCTTCTGGACGGTGAGCTCTGGGGTGCCGTCGACCTCGACGACTGCGAGTGGATGATCGAGGACTCGCCGGTGAGAAGCGACGCGTCCGGTGGAGCGCCAGCAGCGGAGGATCGAGTGGAAGGACGCTGTGTGGTGATCTCTTTGGGGAAGCTCCATGTTGCTCGGAGATGTTGGAGTTGGAGTGGAGCATTTGGATAGTTCAAAAGAGACGTCCAATATGTCTGTCTAATTTCATAAATCAGGTTGAAAAGAATCGCATTGGCACTTAAGCTTTGGTCAGGGAAAGAAGCACGGATGGAACAACAGGAATGAGCAGCCTCCAGCAACACGGAAAATCCAACATGTGGGAAATCAGGAAAGCAAAAGACACAAGACTCAAGACAGGGACAAGGAACAGGTTCAACTTTGGGAAGTAATGATTATCATTGCAAAAAAGCAATTCTGGGACAATAGGCATTCAGTTTAGACAAAGGTGAGGTGGTTGTTGGTGGTGAGCTCTGGAGATGAAGCCCGCCCCCGAACCAACAGACAGTGGTTGCTAGTCTCGACGAACGCAGCACAAATCAGGATCGCATGATGTGCACACCGCCAACGAAAAAGACTGTGGCAGCGCACAGTGGGGAATTGCTTTTTTTTGGTGCTGTGGAGGGACATAAGAAAACATCTAATGATGTGTTTTCTTATTTCCTGAGCCCTTGACAAACACACTGTGCAAGAATTCATTTTTGCAGAACCCGGCTACCCTCATTTCCCTTGCCCCAGACTTATGTCCTTTTGGGTATGATTTCACAACCTTAAGTCCCCGATTTGTGAAATCTAAGACCCTGAGAAATCCATATGTGAGAGGCATGTTACTTTTGGAATTGGCAGTGCCACGCGTACGGCGTGTGAGCGCGATATATCCCCACCGCATCAGGTCCGGGAGCATTGGGAGAGGCTGCTGAAATCGGAGGAGGGCGCGACAGGTGGATGGGAAACTTTTAGGTCACTCGATGGCAAGTCACGCATCTTCCGTTTTTGTTGCTGCGGTGGGATGTTCTTGATGTGAGTTTCCCCAGAAATTGGAATCGCTGACCAAGAGTTTTGTAGAATCCTTTTGTTAGTTCTTCATGTGAGGCCAGGCTCGCGAAAGGAAGTGGATATGGCGGTGTTGGGCTCTTTGGAGTATGTCAACAGTTTGCTGAACCAGCGCGACGCGCAGTACGCGCGGGAATATTTGGACTACATCCTGCCGGAGTCTTTGCTTGGCCAGCAGTTTCTTTGGTTTCTTCATGTGGAACCATTTTTAAACCCAAATGTTCGAGCGGAGCATAGCAGAGCTAATTGTCGCAATTAGTGTCATGAAAAGGTTGGCGTGGTTTGGGTGGATTGGATGATGCAATCAATGTTCACAAATCAGTTCGCACTGGTTCTATCTACATGCGCTGCACGTGTGTTGGCAATTTTTTTGCACAACACCTTCCCGTTGATGATGACAAACGGGCCTTACTAAGATATAGCATGATATAGCCCCCCGCAGCACTTGCGACTGTACAGGCTCAGGGCCTACAAGACACCCCCACGGGAGGGCGGCAGTGGTCCCACCTTCCAGCCCTTTGGGTGGATATCAGGCTGAGGTAAAATGGATTGTGTTCCAGTGGGCCTGCTGGGTAGGGGTTTCAGATATGTGTATGTCATGTGAGCAACTGCCAAAACCTCTGATGAAGGCAGCGAAGACTAGGCAAGTAAAGTGAAGGAAACCTTCAGGAATGATGAGGTTCACAGAACAGAAACCATAAGGTTTTAGTACATGTTGTTAGGTTTGTCCAAACCCTCAGGAACGATAAGGTTCACATTAAAAGCCATTGATAACGTTGGGAAGAGTGCGCACTACGACACATAAGAGGTTTTGCACGTCTCTCATGTATTGTCAACCTTTACTTGCTATGATTGATCTCACTGACTACTGTGATCTTTCTCAAATGAGTTGAAACTATCAACCAGCCTGGTACTGACATCTCTCAAGCATCACCTGCCAGTGTTTGGGCTTTATCCTTCCCGTGGCAGTGAATCTGAGGAAGACGAAGCTGAATTGGCTGAATTGACGGGTCAAGAAGAACGCGCACAGGAGAGAAAAAAGAGCAGAAAGGGGCCAGTGCGCCATGAAACACGCAGGGTGCACACAATCGATCCACCATCGGGGTTTCAAGTTTCACCGGGTAGAGGTGCACAAAGCCTTTGTCAGCAGGTCCTGCCAGTTTTCCGACAACACCATGGGGGTGGTTTGTGGTTTTGTCTATTGTTTTCATGTGCCTCTTAGACTGACTGGTGCTTAGTAGGGAATATGGGAATGGATCCTGAGGGGTCTACAGGGGTGGTTCATTCCCTCATTCCCTACGAGTCGCACGAGTCTGTAGAGTTGCAAGACCCGCATCAAGTCACCAGTGCCCTCTTCAGCTCGACCCGCTCGGCGTGCTCGGCACGAACGATCTGGCAGGCTCCTCCAGAGCTCCTGTCGGGGCAACGTGGTGCGACACGAGGCGCGGTGCGACAGGAGGCGCGTTTGGTCTAGCCTGGGAGATGGGGGAAAGGCCCAGGTTACGAAGCATGCGAATGCCAGTGGCATTGCAATGCATCGCCCAAGCAATGCCGTCCTCCTTAAGTACTTTCAGCTGGTCCAACGGTTCTAAGGTTGCACTGCTGAGTTGGTAGCAGGATGTGAACTTTCCAGACCTACATTCTGACATGGAAGTGGATGGCACCCCCTTTCTAGAGGAAGGTCGTCTTCCAAAGGACGCTGGTCCACTTCCATGTGATCTGTTCGCCAGGAGTGGCCAAACGCCACTTGGGGTGGTCGCTGAGAACACTCTTCCAGGGTCCATTCTCACGGCCATAAAGCGTCCGTCTGCAAGGGGGGTTATAGGAAACGGCGGACGGCCGGTGCTTCGCCTCGCCGCCGGTGGTTGGAGAGCAAGGATGGCCGCTTCACCGTGGAGATCCACAAATACTCCTACGAGGCGTTCTGCTTGCGGCAGAGAGGACGCGGGTGCCAGGGCAGCTGTCGTCCGTGGCTGTCCCACGTCGAAAAGGGACGAGGTGATTGGGGTCCAATGCCCACCGACGTTGAGAAAGCTTTTCAATTGGATCTGCAGGACCTGCGCCCCTTTATCTTAAACTCACCGTCCTAAACTTCTATTGTTCGGGAGGTTCCTACACTGGAAGACTCCTTAGGAGACCTTTGCCCCTATGATCCCATATCTGATCATGAGGGCAGCAGCCATTTGCGCCCATGTGGCTATGATGGTCGTCGCTATAGTCGTCCAAATTGGGCTTCGAACTGAGCGCCACGGCCGTCAGCGACGCTTCTGGAGGCCTTGGAAGCCTATGGCCGTTACCTGCACGAAGATCAAGTGATGTGCAGGTGCGGCTCGTGCCGTGCGGACGCAGATACGTCACACTGAGTCCGCGGGACACTGAGCGCCCTGCAGTTGAACAATCAAACAAATCAAACACACAAGCCAGGGGAAAGAGGGACACCAAGTCCGGTGCTCAAAACTAACTATATAATAAGCCTGACTAGACTTTAAACTTGAACTCAAGGGGGTGCCGTTTCGGATGCTACGGCTTGACCATCAGAGCTGAAAGAGAACGGGCACCTCATCAGCGACTGGACGCCCAGACAGCTCAATCCGTGAGATCTTGGAAGTCCCTCAGCGCGCGCCGCGTGGAGGCCCGAGGTGGCCATGGAGCTTTTGGAGCTGGCTGAGGACGCGCGTGATGCGAGTCGTAGATGGATGCGCGATGCGACGGCCCGTCGTAGCGTTCTTGGGAGAGAACGGCGGGAGGTCGTGCCAGGGGCTGTTCCGGGAGAGTGTGTGTGCTCCATGGGTGTGCCCGTGCAATCAGGTCTTGGCTGATTCAGGGGTAAGTCTTTCTGCTTTGGCAGCAGATGGCTGCAATGCTCCAAGATGGTGAAGGATTGATACTTGATACCTTTTGATGTAATTAGGTCTTCAGCTCCAACGGCTGTTTCGAGGACCCTTTGCGGTAGCTTGACAGAGGTGAGGCCCTTGACGTAGGTAGGCAATGTAGATCATCCCGCATGCGAGGAGTATGTGGACTCCACCGGGCTAGCGGAACAGTGCGCGCAGCTGGTGAGGCAGTGGTCTCAGTGGTCTCAGGGTGGACTCCGTCGGCTGGTGGAATGTGTCGAGGGAGAAGCGGTTCATTTGGCGGTTCTTGGCTGGTGGAATGTGTTGGGCACTGCGGGGAGAATTGTAGGGAGAGATGCTTGTTTGCTCTTGCAATCGTTGCATATTTGTGAACGTGGCAGATTCATGGAGGAGCTGTGATATGTATGATGTCATGTTGAAGGATGTTGGAGGCAATGTTCCAATCTCCATTAGGCATGCCATGCGGGCTTTTTTCATTGAATGCTACGGTCTCCTGGAGCATTCGCGGGCGCAATCAGACTACCGCCGTGTGTCGGTGCCAGGCGCAGTGTGTGTCAGAGCAGCTTGGCCTCCTGCGTCGCGCCTGGGTGCCCAAAACAGGTCTAAGCAAGGTCCAAGCGCATTGGTGCCGAAAAAGGTTCGTTTCAAGCTGCTAAGTGGATCAGCCCATGCACCTAAGACATTTTATATAACACCTTATGGCACCGTTTTGACATCTATGCGGCGTATTGCGGCAGGAGATCCCCCTAATCCAAGAAAACATGTTCAGTCTCTCTGTACCAGCACCCTCCAACAGGTCTCCTCCGGAAGCTTTTGCAGACTTATAAGTCGCAGGTGGTGACCTGTTGGAGGGTGCTGGTATATATATCTCTTTATAAGGCATGTTTGCTCCCGTTGAACTCCCCATTGAACTCCCCGCTCACCACGCCACGCCGAACCAAACATGCGCCGCGGAACACCGAGGTCGTGTCTCTTCCTGCGCCGTGCGGCGCTGGCCGTGGAGCTCACCAAGCTGCGGCTCTGCCGGGGCCGCGGCGCGGCCGGGAAGACACATCACCGAGGTGACGGGAGATCTCAAAGGGGTCAGTGTAGTCATAGATATGGCAGGAAGGTGCTGCAATTGTTGCCATAGGCCCCGCGAAATCCACGATTTAGACCAGACTGTCCGGGTTGAACTTGGATGCTTCTTTCAAGGTCCATGATTCTGGCCCAAATCAGGGAGCCGAATAAGTGACACAAGTGACTCACCACGAGCAAGTCACATGGACTGTGCAAATACCAAAAACAGGGTGAACTCCACTTCCATGGTTCCATGGAGGATGAGTGGAAGTGTACCTTTGAACAAGCTAGCATTCCATAGAGAGCTCCTGAGACAAGCTCTCCCGTTCCCATACATTCCCATTCCCCGGCCACAGCCCTTGGATGATCTTCAGCATTCTGATTCTGGAATCCGAAAAGCTTGACCAGAAAAAGAGAAGCCCGACCCGGCTAGAAAGCCTGGCTGGCTAGCTGGGCGCACTGAGGTGTGGACAACTGCTGCGACGTGTTGCAAGTCCTGGAAACCATCGACTGCATGGACCTGCAGGCGCTCCGAACCGTCCTTCGCTCCGCGCTCTCTCCGCCGCGCTCCTCCGAACGCTCCCAGCGCGAGCTCCGCGGAAGTGGCAGAGTTTGTTCCGGTCGGCCGAGCGCCGTGGCCGTCTTCGGAAGAACGTGCGGGTGAAAGGGGGAAAACGCCTTCTACCCGACTCTCCCGCCCCCCCGCCCAGGCGGAGTACATCCGCAGTATCGTGATGAACTTCGCCGCCGGCAATGCCACGGCCGGGGGGGGGAAAGAGCTGAGCTTCCATGGGGGAAGGGCTCGAAGCGGTGAAGATTTGAGAGAGGTGGTTTTGATCAAGACATGTCAAGGAACGGTTTGGTCTGGACACCGAGATGCATGATGCATTTGGCATGGATCGGCTTGTGGAGAAAAGGATGGAACACCATAGAGCATCTAAAGATTTGGCCCATAATGAGGCCCAAGCACTGGCCCAACCCCTTTGAGCTCCGATGATTTTTCCTCTGCCTGGGTCTCAAGGCCATCGTGAAGTCCGAGCGGTTCAATTGCTTGGCAGATGCCCTGAAGAGCCGTCTTTTCATCAAGCTGGCGACCATGGGCCTCTTGAAAACTTAGAACTCCTTGTCCAGGTAAGGCAGCGGGCTGAGCGGGCTGAGGTTGTTGCATTGGTGGTGTGAGACTTTGCGGGGGGACACCAATGGTGGGGGTGGGGGTTGAACAGGTGGAGCTTCATTGGTCTTTGGAGTCGGAGTGCTCACCTCAACCTCACCTCCTTTCGGCCATTCAGCGACATCCAGTGACCATACTTGCCAAAGTGGATTGAGGATGATGGAGGCATCGATCCTCCTGTCTACGGGGCTTGCAGGACGCTTAACATTTTGGTCAGTCTTGGGTTTGAGGAGGCTGACAGGATGCAGGTCTCTTAGCATTTGGGGAACCCGTCGCTATTTTAGCACTTCCATCGGCCGTTCCAACGGCGGGACAGGGTCCCAGGAGGATGCCCACTTTGCTTGGGTTTCTTGCTTCTTTGTGTGTTGTTTTTTCTCCTCGATCAGTGACATGCACCAAATGCAGGCCTACACCCCCGGTCGTGTGAGTAGGATCGCGGGCGGATTGTGCATAGTAGAGAGGCGGTGCGGTGTCGGAAGCGGTCTTTGTGGATTCTGCAAAAGGTTGGGACTCACTCACGTGCCATCAACGTTGCAGAAGTGAGCATGGCTTATCATGACCTCACTGGCCGGAACTCGGCAACAACAGCACCACTGGTACATGGAGAACATCCACATGACCCCAAGACATCCCAAGACTACATGTGCTTCTTCTAGAGGCAAAAACAAATTGTGGCTTCCATGCTTTTTTGGGTGACTGGTGGACGTTCCATTCCGTTCACTTCCTATCATTTGGACTGGTGAACGTTTGCATTCAATTCCGTCTCCGCAACACCCTGGGCGCCTTGGAGAGGAAGATGTTGGTCCGTGCATGTCCGTGCCATCGCAGGCATTGACCGCTTGGTGCATGTTCAGCAAAATATGGATCCACTCGACGGATCTCATACAGGCCATATAATGCAATTGTATGGGTGTAGGTCAATTGTCAAACCCCTTACCCTACAAACCATGGGAGGTTGACCTCCCTTCTAGAATCGGCTCCGTCTGGAAACGGTCGGGTCACCGTGGACACGGGTGCCACAGGTATCCTGTGATCAGGTGATCCTTATTGAATACCACGATGACCATCAATAACCCATATCAATCTGGGTATCCTCAAGGCCTGTGATCTCCGGAGCCCCCACCGGTTGTAGTTATGTCTTCCATCGGCCAGGCGACATGCGACGCACAGCTGGCCACAGGTCTTGTGTGGTCAGCGGACGGTTCAACGCAAACGGCCTGAAGGAGTGGTCAGCGGACGGTCCACGCAGATGCGTCCTTTCCAAAGCGCTTTTCTTAGCCTGGCTGGGCCATTTTTAGGCCCCCAAAAGCGTTCGGAGGCTGGAAGGAGCTTGGTGAGTGCATCAGGAGTCGATCCATTGGCGCTTCCACACTTGTGCGGCTTTTTGTGTGTCAACCCATGCAGAATCAATTGGTCAAAAGATGTCGAACCTTGATTTTTGCGCAGCTTGGCTGCCCTTGGCCCACGACCCACGACGCATCACTCACCGTCACCTGGTGATTTTCTGCCGCCCACAGGGCGGCCGTGCCAAAGAGTGCATTCGTTCGTTGCGGCGCGGTTCGCTGCGCCCACTGCGTGTGAAATCCACCGCGACATGCCAAAAGGGAGTTGTGGCTGTGGGTATGGCTGTGGGAGGCTTTTCGCTCGATACTTCGATAAGTCGATGAAAGGAATGTGTATTCTTGATTTGGTTCGAGGTCTGGGAATGCATGGAAATGTTTGGAACATGAACATGTCCTTTGCATCTCTTATCACTGGAGAATGTAAACATCACATGATGAAATGCTTAAATAAGGACAAGTCCATCCCCGACCAGCTGCGCGGCCAGCTCATGGATGGATTGTTGGGTTTGATGCATCAGAGGTGCTTCATTTTGCTCGAAAGGGCAGCCCTACCCCGCATCCTGGGCAACTTCCATGTGGCGGAGTTGAATGCGGTAGGGTGCCCAACATCTCCCACAGCAGACCCCAACATCTCCCATAGGAGGACCCCTGGCCCTGGCTGGGTAGACTGGTCTATTGCCCAAACTTTCCAGAGTGGTCGGAACGCCTGGGAGGTCTCCAATATTGTAATATAATGTAATATATATATATGTGTGTTATATATTAATATACATATATATATATACACATGATATATACCCATGTCCCAATGTGGGTGTGTTTGAAGCGTGTTCACTCCCTCGCCCAAGCCATCTTCCTCGCCGCCCTGCCTGGCTCAGCGCAGCTCCGCCGGTCCGCCGCCCACAGGGACGGAGAGGCCAACACCGCCCACGGGCGGAAGGGCTGGCTTGGCGATGCATGGTGGGAGTGACTCCCGCGTTTGCGGGAATTGGATTGATCATGATTGATCTAGTTGCATGATTTTGGTATCCATACTTCATGGCGTCGGTGGCCACCGGTGCCATCTGTGTCTAATCGAATCCACTAGCCCAGAGCACCGAGCTTAGGCTACAAGATTCCAACTCACTTCGGGGCACCCCGACAGGGTCCTGGTATATGTCCTCCGTTTGGGTGATATGCATGACCTGAAACTTCGAGACGCCACCTCACATTTGGGAGGTCGGTCGACATGAAGAAACTTTTCACATCAAAACCTTTCAAAAGGCTTGGCAGACCTTTAGCAATCCTTCTCCATCCTTGTTCTCTAGAGATCTGACAGCGTTCAGTGGATTTCATGGCAGAAGTTGCAAAAGTCGTTGGATGATCTGAAGAACCTTCAGGCGACAGCGACAACGAGTCTAAATGGGTATGATCTTTAATAGGGAGAGACACCATGGCCCATGGCCCAATGGGTATATAGACTGGTCCATTTTCCTTCTTCCAGGTGGTCGGAACGCCTGGGAGGTCTCCACACCCACACACGCGCACATGCAATATATATATATATATACCTCCTCATTACATCTGTTTAAACTGCCGTGAAGTGAACCTTGAATCTGTTCCTGTAGGGAGCTGGTGCACCAACCTCCTCTCGCTGCGAGCTGGCCCTCGCAGGCATGTTCACCATCGCTCCGCCCAAATCGTGGACGTACCGCCCCAAGTTGAGACGGGGAGCCTGCAGGCAAGGGAACCTGCGCTGTCAGAACGCCCACAGCAGGGTCCACAAGTCTTTTTCCTGGTTCCGAGCTGGTGGTCAACACCAACGATTTCTCAGCGTGGACGGCAGTTTCAGCAGACGGTCCTTCTCTTGAGTAGGTCAGTTGAGGTCAGTAGGTGAAGTGTCAGCGGTTGCAATGCTGGATTTCCGTTTTTGTATGGTGGCCCAGGCCGGCTGCCCGTGTTTCACGGACTTTTTCTAAGGCCCACCACGCATACGGAGGTGGAGGCGCACTGGGAAGCAGGGTGAGAACTTACACTCCAGCGGGGTGAAGGCCACCTAAGACTTGACCCATCTTGCCCCTCCATGTGGCTGGCATTTTCTGAAAGCATGCATTGCGTTTTGGGGGGGTTGTATACGGCTGTTGGTATATAAACTCCTTGACTTGGGACCATCCTTCAGTTCCTGTTAGCGACTTATTGGTTTCAGTGTGACTGATGGAATGATTTTGCCTCGAGCATTGGGA